GCCCTGCGGAGAGATGGACGGCGTGTTCAGAACCTCGTCACCAGAGCGCCAGGACCCCAGGGCTCAGCCTGTCTGGACCCTGGGGGAGGGGTGGGAATGGGGGATGGTAGGTCCATCGACCTCTAGAACTAGGAGAGAAGAGTCTGCTGATTGGCTGGGGGGTTGGGGAGCGCTGAGAGCAATGGTGGGGAATTCAATATCATTCTAAGGTAATTGAGTCATGGAAGGGGTTTTTCCTGTGAATTATCCTAGGGTGACTGGGCTGTATTGCTCATCCAACCATCTGTCCTTTTGTCTGTCCATCCACCCACCCATCCATCCATTCACCATGTGTCCTTCCATCACTCATCCAACCACCCATCTATCTACCCACCCATAATCCACCCACCATCCGTCCACCACTCCCTCATCCGTCCATCCACCCAGCCACGCATTTATCCATCCACCCAAGCACGCCATCCATAAATATTCACCAAGCACCTATCGTGTATCAGACACGGGTCTAGACACAACACAGCACAAAACAAATCCCTTGCACTCATGGAACAAGCTCGCCCGGCTGCAGTCTAGGGGCCAGGCAGGTAATGAGCAAGCGCCCAGTCGGTCTGAGGGCGGTCAGGGCCGCAAGGGGATGGGTACAAGGCCCATCCTCTCTGAGGGGTGGGGGAAGGTTTCCATAGAAGAGGACACAGAGCAGGTCCCTGAGGGTAGAGGGTGTGAGCTGTGGTGGCCGTGGCCATGTGTGTGTCAGGAAGAGGGAACATGGCAAAATGTGCCTGGCCAGTAAGGGGTCCCAGTGTAGCCCAGGGCTCCCTGATCCGCGTGGCACACACCCCAACCTGTCAGTCGGAGCATGAAGACAGCAGGCCTGCAGGGACGGTCCCTCTGTGAGCACTGGTGTTGGGGGGTGGGATGGGAAGCCCCTACCTTACTTACCGTGAACAGGCCTTTGGTCCTCTTCCTGCTGCCGATGAAGAACCGGGCTCCTCGCACTGACAGGCTGGCCGGGAAGGGCACGTCAGCCATTCTGAAAACATTGGAGGGTGGTTTTAGGGCCACGGGGTGTGTGTGTGGGGGGGCGGCAGTGTCACAGCCCATTTACGGAGAAAAGGGCAGGGGGAAGCAGCACAGGCAAGATACTGGCTTCCTGGGGCGGCTGTAACAAACACCATGCACGGCGGGGCTTCAACAGCGGACGGTCCCCAGCTCTGAGGCCGGGAGGGTGGGTTCCTCTAGCCTCTTCCAGCTGCTGGGGGCTTCTGGTATCCCTGGCTTGTAGCCCATGCACCCCTCAGCTTCTGTCTTCGGGTGGCCTTCTCTGTGCTTCTTCTTCTCTTCCTAGAAGGACACTAGACTCTGGATGGGAGGTTATCCAGGACGACCTCAACTGAACTCGATCACACCTGCAAAGACGGTCTCCAAGCAAGGTTCTATTCTGGGGTTCTGGCAGACCTTAGTTGGAGGGATGCTCTCTGCCCCAAAACAGGAGTTGTCCACAAGTGTGGCTGCAGAGTTGTCCATACAGTGGCTCCTCCATCTCTCGGGAACCTACCATGGCTCCCACTGGCATTGGGTCCCCACCCTGCCCACCCTCCCCCAAGCCTGTGGGGGAGCAGATGGTGTCTGGGAGGGAGGGGTCCTTGCTGGTGACCTGGAAGATGTTGGAAACGTGGCCAGGGCTGGACTTTGATGTGGACATGGCAGGTGAAGCTTGGGGTTGGTTGGGGGAAGGTGGGTGTCTGCTAGAGGGAAAGGTCTGGCTGAGCCTCTGGGGTGGACGGGCCAGGCATGTGCTCTTTTCTCACTGCCTCCTGCATCTCGACGTCGTACCCTCCCGTAAACACACCTGCCCCTTCCAGGCTTGCATCTGGCTACAGCGGGCCGCGGTGCGGCCAGTTCCTGACCACCATCCCAGAATGCCCCATGTTCCCATCACAGCTCTGATCACAGCGTGCCCTCCATGCACCCGCGAGGCCTGTGAGGCCCCATCCCAAGGCCCAGATTCCTCCTTGGGCACCATCGGCTGCAGCCCCGGTTCCTTCTGTCCCCTCCCTTGGCCCACACTCCTCCCTGTCACAGAGCTGTCCCCACTGCTGGGTCCCCACCGTCATTGCCCAGTAAAGGCCCTGCTGCACCTGGGGGTCACAGGGGGCACTGGTAGTAGAGATGTATTTAAACCAAGTGTGTGAATGCAAGGATTCTTTTCATTATGGACTAAGTGTCCTCTAACAAAGCAGCGTGAGAGTCTACCTTTGCAAGTAATATTTGCAATAATGATAGATTTCACGCAAACAGCACAATTTATGATTTAAAAAAAAAAAAAAGTGCCCAGCGCCCCTGAGCCCTGCTGGAAGCTGAGGGCGAGGGGGGTCATCAGCAGCTGGCGGGGCTGTAGGGCCCCCTGCCTCCCTCCCTGGTCCAGCCCAGCACCCAGGGGACGGCGGGACAGGGAAGGCGCTCTGGCCTCCGAGGGCCTGGGGCGGGGGCGGTGCCCGCAGAGGGTCCATCTGCGTGTTTAGCTGGAGCTGTAGGGGCCGCGCACGCCCTCGGCCCCACCAGCAAACCGGGTCTTGGGTCGAATGATGCGCTGAGACTGCAGAGCCGGAGCCGGGCTCGAGTCGGGTGCCAGAGCTCCTGGTGGGTTTGCTCCCTGGGCTTTCGCAACAGTGACCACGCTCTGCGGGCGCGCCCCTCCCCCAACCCCTGCCACGTCCAGCGCACCCGGCCTGGGCGCCTGCGTCCGCCCCACCCACCCCGCCTTTCCGGGGGACGGGTTTGGTCCCGGACCCCCGATGACCCTGTGTTCCTGCCCCAGAGCGTGGTTCCCAGAGGCTGTTTGCCCACAAGCCCAAGCGCCCACGGTGCACACTGCACAATGCCGGCCGTGCCTGGGACAGCCACCCCGCCCCGCTGCCCTGGGCGCTTCTGGGCAGGCGGCACACAGCCCCGCGCCCCCCTCCCCGGGCGTCCTGCTACCTACATGTCCACCGGGAGGCCGCAGTCCGTGGTGAGGGAAAAGGATCCTTCGGACACGGCCAAGACCAGCGTGTGCCACTGGCTGTCCATCAGAGCAGGACTACGGAAGGTCACCCGGGTTTGCCAGGCCCCCGCCGCGTCCCGGCTGAGGAAGAGGAAGTGCAGCCGGGTGGGTGAGTACCGCAGGCCCAGCAGCAGGGCGTCTGGCTCCTCTGCCAGCACCGTGAACAGGTACTCGTTCTTCTGAAAGACAGGGTGAAGCCGGAAGGTAGGACAGGGGAGTGGGGGGCAGGGGAGGCTAGACAGGAGAGGACGGGGCAAGGGAGGGGAGGGGAGGGCAGGGGAGGGGAGGGCAGGGCTCACTGGCAGGGCCTAATGTGGTGACCAGGTCTGTGATAAAACCGAAGAGCCCTGCTCCCACCTATCAGGACGGCTGCTCTCGAACGTGCAGGACACGTGCTGGCAAGGCGGTGGGAAGTGGGTCATTGGAATGGGGTGTGGAGGTGCGCCCTGGGGACGGGATTGCCGCTCGGTGTAGCTGCTGGGCAGAACAGAGGGACGGGCCCTGGAAACCAGCGCAGGAGCCAGCAAGTCCTCTCTGGGCCAGAGCGCGGACGGAGGGCTGGGTCCCGGGGAGAGGCACCACACGGACCCCATCGTCCACAGGCGCTCACGTGCAGAAGTGGCCCAGGGGACCCGTGGTCTGCCTGTGCGAGGCATGGTTACTCAGCCTTGGACAGGTCCCAGAGTTCACACTGATGACCCTGGACGCCGTCACACTAAGGGAAGTCCGGCAGGACATGGACGACACGGTCCCACTTCCGTGAGGGGCCCTGAGCCACCACGTGCAGAGACAGAGCCTAGAACGGGGCCGTGGGGGCTGGGGGAGGAGCGGCCGTGGGGCTCCGCGGGGAGATGGGAAGTCTGCACCTGGACGGTGGGGATGGCCGCACGGGAGTGTGAAGGCCGCACCTTGCCTCCCGGCTCAGACCACCCACACCTGGGCACCCGTCGGAGGCCCTCAGGGGCCCCAGCTCCCAGCCCACCGCAGCTGGCAGCTCCAAGCTGGGCACCAGAGCGGGCATCGAAGCCAGGCTGCAGTGTCTCCCGCAAGCCTCCGTCTCCTAAAACCATGACCCCCGCCCGGGCCGCAATGCCGCGGACATAGTACAAGCCGCCATGGTCCCTGTCTTCGACCTAACACCTCACCCAGGAACACGCACTTGGCACATGCGGGTCACACGGCCTGTGGTGCTGAGGGGACACAGAGGCCCCATCGCTTTCCAGGCTGGGACGGGGCACCCAGATACCTTCCACGGCAGGGGAGCTCTCTCCCATGTGGCAACTCTCAGGGAGGGGGAGGCGAAACGTGGAAGCCAAGAACCACAGTCAGGACGAAATCCTCACGGTGGGGCTGGGAACATGAGACAAGGGGCCGGGAAGGGGCATTGGCGTCACAGCCACAGCCCCGCTGGGACAGGAATACCCACATCCCAGGTTCTGGCTTTGGGCACGCAGGGTCCAGTAGCCCTGACCTTCCCGGGCCAGGCGTGCCTCCCACCCCAGGGCCCGGCCCTGAGGGATTTCTCAGTCCCCCTTTCCTAGAAATGTTCCCGGATGGAGGAGACCAATGTCTGCTCAGACCCCTGGACCCCCACCCTCATGAGGGTCAGATGAAAGGAAGCAGATGCGCTGGTGAGTGAGTTTATTGGGGTGTCTGAGCAGGCGCTGAGAGGTCAGCAGGTGAGGTCATGGGACCCTTCCCTCCGAAACTGGGAGGGAAGGACAGGGGACCCAGAAGTGTGGAGACCCCTCCCGGGAGCGGGAGCCCTGGGGAGCAGCGGGGTCAGCGTTCTTGGGAGCTATAAGGTCAAGGTCATGTCAGCAGAGTGGACGCATGGAAGACCCTGTCCTGGGTGTGGGCAGCCACCTAACACAGGTCAGGACCGGACTGAGAGGGCTGGGAGGACCACTGTCACTGGGTGGGTCCTGAGCCAAGCTGGCCCCGCGGGAGATGGGCCCCGTCAGCAGCAGGACTTCTGGGCCGAGGCGGGCACACAGCAGGCCTGGCAGGAGCCCACAGGGCGGCAGAGCAGGGACACGCAGGAGGCCCGGCGGCAGCAGCTGGGCTGGCAGGAGGAGGCAGGGGCACAGCAGGAGGAGGCGGGCCTGCACACGGGGCGGCAGAGCAGGGACACGCAGGAGGATGGTCTGCAGCAGGATGAGGAGCAGGGGCTGGGCTGGCAGCAGGAGGAGGCCGAGCAGGGGGAGGGCCCAGAGCAGACAGGGGTGCAGCAGACGGGCTTGCAGCAGACAGGGGTGCAGCAGACAGGGGTGCAGCAGACAGGGGTGCAGCAGACGGGCTTGCAGCAGTCTTCCTGGCAGGGGGAGGAGCTGCAGCAGGAGGGCTGGCAGCTAGACTGCTGGCAGCATGAGGAGGCTGAGCAGGGGGCGGTCTGGCAGCAGACAGGGGTGCAGCAGACAGGCTTGCAGCAGACAGGGGTGCAGCAGACGGGCTTGCAGCAGACAGACACACAGCAGTCTTCCTGGCAGGGGGAGGAGCTGCAGCAGGAGGGCTGGCAGGAGCTGGACCCGCAGCTCGCAGGGGTGCAGATGAGGGTCAGGCAGGAGGGGGCACAGCAGGTGGGGGCACAGCAGGTGGGGGCACAGCAGGGGGGCTCGCAGCAGCTCTCTGGGCAGTCGTCCACCTGCCAGGAGTCGGGGCAGGAGTCACAGGAGCCGGGCAGGCAGACGCAGCTGCCGTAGCTCCGGTCGCTGGAGCAGATGGACAGGGTGGACGCGGCCATGGTGGGGGCGGTGGGGCTGGAGGAGGGTGTGAGTGTGAGTGTGAGTGTGTGTGTGTGTGTGAGGCGCTGGGCTGTCGGCTTTTATACCCGCCGAGGTGTGTGTTGTCCAGCAAGAGGCTCCGTGAGACTTCCCCTTCCTCGTTGATGTTTCGGCTGAGCCCTGGGAGTGCTTATTACCGCCGGTTTATTTACGCGAGAGTGTCTGCTTGTAAAATGCCTGTCGTGGTTGAGGACGGGGTTGGCCCCTGACTTTGTTTAGGTCTTTAAGAAAACAGCACGGGAACAACCTAGTGTCCTGCAGCCCGGGGCGGACAGCCTGCCCACCACATCCTGCTCTTGGCTGTGGTTTGCTGGGGGGTGGGGGTGGGGCAAGGGCTGCGAATCCCAGTCCCGGGGAGCAGGCAGGAGGCAAACCCAGGACAGGTGTGTGTGTCAGCTGCCGGCGCCCCCCACACGGAGAGCTGCATGGCGGCGATCAGGGTTGAGTGGGAAGGCGGACAACATGTCTCAGCCCAGAATGACCGAGAAGGAACGTGGAGAACTTCAGAGGAATGAAGATGCCCTCAAGATCCCGTGTTCACCGCACGAGACTTCGGGAAAGACGGATCAGCCACCGGGAACGTTTCTCAGAGCAGAGGGCAATGGGGTGTGCGGACGTGGGCTTCTGACCAAATGTGGGAAGAGACGGACAGAAATCGCTGCACGTGTCGGCACACGGGCGTGCTCTCTCGCCGACCTCAACACCCTAGATGTTTCCGGAGAGGCGGGCATCGGCCCGCCGCTCAGCGAAGACGTGCGACCAGATCTCCAACGTTGGAGGGAGAGGGGTCAGACCACGGCCTCTGTGAAACCGCCCAATGAGCGGAAGGTACAGCCCTTCCCACGCTAGAGCTATTCTGGAAAACTGCCGCCCGAACACCGCTCGCGGAAGCATCCCCAGACCAGCTGGTCCAGCAGAGTCAACGCAGAAACAAAGAGAAGGAAGATATAGAAAATAATCAGAGGAAAAGAAAATCTGCCAAAAGCAGATTGCAGTCCTACCATCTTCAGGGAGAAGAATTTCGCCCGCTTGACCCGACAGAGCCAAGCCACGGCTCACCGTCCTCCCCGCCTCCCTCCACGCACAACGCTCTTGGTGGCGCTCGGCCCCGAGTCCTGGCGGTCGCCCACGCACCGCCCCCAAGCCATGCAGAAGGTCCCTCGTGCTCCCCACCCTAGCAACACCTCCCTTTGCCCCAAACCACTGCGGCCACCGACTCTCCGTCACTGCACTTGTGGCTTTTCCAGAATTTTCTATAAAGACAGTGTGCAGCCTTTGGGGTCTGGCTTCTTTCATTTAGCAGAACCCGCGTGGGCTTCCAGGGCTGAGGGCTGGGCAGCCTCTTCATCGATTTTCGTCTTTTTCAGATCGTGCTCTCGGTTATAAGCCTAACTCAAGGTTGCAAAATTTTCTGCTGTTTTCTTCTAAAAGTCTAAAATGTTTACATTTTACATTTAGGGCTATGATCAGCTTTTATGAAGGTTTTACACTAAGTGTGAGGTATGGGTCAAGGATCCTTTTTGGGTTTTTGGATTTGGACGCCCAGTCATTCCAAGCACACTTCTGTCTCTTGAACTTGCCTTTGCATGTATCTGGTCCAAAATCAGTTGACTGTATTCGCGTGCGTCTGTGTATTGTTCTGTTTCCGGATCTGCCTGCTTCTATTCCTTTGCCAACATCACATTGTCTTGAGTACTGCGGCTTTATAGAAAATCCTGAAGTCGGGTAGTGACGTCCTCCAACTTTGTTCTTCATTTTCAAGTGGTTTGGATATTTGAGCTTCTTTCCTATCCAAATAATTTTAGGATTAGCTTGTTCATACTGACAAAAACTGCTACTGGGATGTGGTTTGGGATTGGCTTGAGTCTATAGACGAGTCGAGCTCACTGATAGAATAATATTCCCACCTGCGAACATGGTTTAGCTCTCTGTTGACTAACGTCTTGTTAAGTTTCTTTCGTCGTTTTTTTTTTGTAGTTCTCATTATGTACCTATTCCCTGAGATTTATACCCAAGTTTCCATTATTTATTCTGTTGTAAATCACGCCTTTAAACAAAATTTTTCAATTCTAATGATTTATTGCTATTATATTGAAATGCGATTAATTTTAATTATTTTAGGCTTGCACACTTCAACCTTGCTAAACTCTCATATTTCTAGGAGATTTCTGTAGATTCTTGGGGTTTTCTATGTGGACACTCACATCCTCTGTAAATACAGACCATTGTATATCTTAATTTCCAATGTGTATGACTTGTATTTCTTCTTGCTGGTTGCACAGGCAGGACTTCAGTATGGTGTTGAGTAGGGGCAGTGAGAGAGGACATCTGTATCTTTTTCCTGATCTTTGGAGGGAAGCTCTCAGTCTTTTACAATTAAGTATGGTGTTTGCTATAAGTTTTTCACAGATGTCTTTTATCAGGTTAACAGGTTTTCCAATTATTCCTAGTTTACTATAAGCTTTTTTTTTTTTTAAATTGAACAGGGGAGAACCCTCCCCAATTCATTCTATGAGGCTTACATTACCCTGATAACAAAGCCAGGCAGAAAACCACAAACAAACATCCATTACAAAAATCATACAAAAGTCCTCAACAAAACACTAGCAAACTGAATTCAGCAGCACAGTGAAGAGATTACACACCGCGACCATGAAGGACGCATTTCTGGAATTCAAGGATGGTTCCACTTATGAACATCGGTCAGTATAAAACCCCACGCTACCAGCATAAAGAGAACAGTGCAGGCTCATCTCCATTGATACCGAAAAAGCATTTGACGACATTCAGCACGTCTCCATGGTGAACCACTCAACAGACTAGGAAAAGCAGGATCTACCACAGCTTAATAAAATATTTGTGTGAAAACCCCTCAGCAAAGATCGTACTCAACCAGAGAAGACTGGGAGCTTTTCCTCTAAGATCAGGAACGGGACAGGGATGCCCCTTTTAGCCACTTCTATTCATCCCGGTACTGGAGGTTCCCAGGGCAGTTGGACAATGAAATAAATAGTCGCAGTGTAGATTGGAAAGGGAGAAGTAAAATCACACCTGTTCACAGATGTCATGACCTTATATGTAGAAAATCCTAAAGACGTGTTAGCACTAGTAAATGAATTCAGAAAAGTAGCAGGAGACAAGGTCAACACACAAAAATCGGTTGCATTTCTATATACAAACAATGGACAACCCCAAAAGGAAATTATAAAAGTAATTCCATTTATGATTGCTTCAAAAATGAATAAAATAAAAGGAATTGGTCAAGGAGGGGGAAGTCCTATACAACGAAATCTATGAAACGTTGGTGAAAGACAGTAAAGAAGACATAAATAAATGGAAAGACAGTCCACGTTCACGGGCGGGAAGGCTCAGTGTTGTTAAGGTGTCCAGACTACCCAAAGCAATCTACAGACGTAATGCGATCATTATTGAAATCACAGTGACGGTGTCTGTTTGCAGTGACGGGGATGGACCTAGAGGGTATTCTGCTGGCGCAGTCAGTCAGTCAGAGAAAGACAATTACTATATGATCTCTCTGATTTGAGGAATTTGAGAAACAAGACAGACGATCGCATGGGAAGGGAGGGAAAAATGGAACAAGACAAAACCAGAGAGGGAGACAAACCCTAAGAGACTCTTAATCTCGGGAAACAAACTGAGGGTTGCTGGGGGGGTGGGTAGGAGGACGGGGTGGCGGGATGATGGACACTGGGGAGGGCATGTGCTATGGTGAGGGCTGGGAATTGTGTAAGACTGATGACTCACAGACCTGCACCCCTGAAGCAAATGATACATTGTATGTTAATTAAAAACAATCCCAATGACATTTTCACAGAAACACAAAACCACTCACACTCATATAGAATCTTAAGGGACCCTGAAGAGCTGAAACAGTCCCACAAACACAAAGCTGGGGACTCGCGCCTCCTGATTTCGGAGCCACAAAGCTACAGTAATCAAAGTAGGGTGGTGTCGACGTGAAAACAGGGTGGCCGGGGGACATATAGACCAATGCAATGGACCCGAGTCTGGGAATAAACCTTCACCTTACAGGTCAAATCAGCTTTCACAAGGACACCAAGTCCATTCAACGGAGAAAGGACAGCCTTGTCTTGTCTTATCTTTTAAAGATTTTTTTTATTTATGTGGGAGAGAGAATGAGTGAGAGCATGAGAGGGGAGCAGTCAGAGGGAGAAGCAGACTCCCCACTGAGTGGGGAGCCCAATGTGGGACTCCATCCCGGGATTCCATCCTGGGATTCCAGGATCACAACCTGAGCCACAGGCAGTTGCTTAACCCATTGAGTCCCCGAGGTGCCCCAGGACAGTCTTTTCCACAAATGGTGCTGGGAAAACTGATGACCCACGTGCAAAAGAATGAAGGTGGGCCCCGACATCACACGACACACAAAAATGAACTCAAAATGGATCCAGAACATAAATGGAAGACCTAAAACTCTTGGAAGAAAACACAGGATGAAAGCTTCACAACATTGGATTTCACGAGGATTTCCTGGAAATGACACCAATGGCACAGGCAACAAAAAATCAAAACAAAACAAAAATTGGACCTCATGAAAATTCTAAATATTTTTTGCATCAAAAGACAATACCAGGGGCGCCTAGGTGGCTCAGTTGGTTAAGCGGCTGCCTTTGGCTCAGGTCATGATCCCAGCGTCATGGGATCGAGTCCCACATCGGGCTCCTTGCTCAGCAGGGAGCCTGCTTCTCTCTCTGCCTCTGCCTGCCTCTCTGTCTGCCTGTGCTCGCTCTCTCTCTCTCTCTGACAAATAAATAAATAAAATCTTTAAAAAAAAAAGACAATACCAATGGAGAATAAAAGGTAACTCAAAGACATGGGAGAAAACATTTGAAAATCACATTCCGATCAGGGATTAATATCTAAAATGCATGAGAACTCCCAAAACTCAGTAACAAAAAGCCAAACAACCCAATTCAAAAATGAGCAAAGGACGTGAATAGACACAGAAGATGTACAAATTCTGTGACCAACGAGCACATGAAAAGATGCTTGACGTCACTCATTATTAGAGAAACCAAGTCCAACTACAATGACAAGTCCCTTACACCCATTACGATAGATACATAATATATATTATACTTAATGTAAATGGAAACACAATGTACGTACAAGGAGAGGACATCTTTGTATATGGATATTATATATAAGATTTTATTTATTTATTTATTTGACAGACAGATATCACAAGTAGGCAGAGAGGCAGGCAGAGAGAGAGAGAGGAGGAAGCAGGTTCCCTGCTGAGCAGAGAGCCCGATGCGGGGCTCGATCCCAGGACCCTGAGAACATGACCTGAGCGGAAGGCAGAGGCTTTAACCCACTGAGCCACCCAGGCGCCCCTGGATATTATATATAATAGATATATTGTAACAAGGAGAAGATATCGCATGTTGATGATAATGTGGCGAACTTGAAGCCCTCCTGTGTAATGAGTGAGAGCTGGAAATGGTACAGCCGCTGTGGAAATCTATAGGGTGGTTCTTCGAAAAATTAACAGGGGAGTTACCGTACGATCCAGTAAATATACAGGTATATGTTCAAAAGAACCGAAAGCAGGCATTTGAAGAGAGAGTTGTACGGCTGTGTTCACAGCAGCGATACTGACAAGAGCAGAGCCCAGGGCCCACCGAGGGACAGATAAATAAGCCAAACACAGGCCATCCACACAGCGGACTCGCCGTCGGCCCTAAAAGGGAAGCAGGTCTGACTTCAGCATAATTGAAGCGCGACGAGGACATTAGTCACAGAAAGACAGCTACTCCATGATTCCACTGATGCGAGGTATTTCAGATACAGAAGGTGGAAGGGCAGGCTCGAGGGCTGGGGGAGGGGGCTGGCGAGGCAGTGTTCGAGGGGACAGGGTTTCATCTTCCCGGGAATGAGAGGAGTCCTGGAGATGGGCGGTGGGGATGGCGGCACGACACTGAGGATGTACTAAGCGCCGCTGAACTCTGCGCTTGAAACTGGTTAGGGCGGTAGACGAGGTTATGTGTATTTGGCATCAAGAAAAACAAATTGAAAAAAGAAAAAAGAAGAAGAAGAGTGCGATCAAGCCAGGAAGAAACCGGGAGGAAATTCACACGCCTGTGAGTGACTGAAAACAGCCAGTCTGAGAAGTCTCCATGCTCTGTGCACGAGGAAGGACCCCTCTAAGGAGACAGGAGACCAGCAGGTGCCGCGGCCACAGGGGAGGGGCAGATGGAGCACGGGGCAATTTCAGGGTAGAGAGACCCACTGTGACAGGGTCTCTTCTCCAGCACTCTGACCCCAAGCCCAACCCCTGGCTGCCTGGGCCTCTTCCCAACTCCATCTGTGAAACTCAGGGTTCTTGGCGCTCCACTGGGTTTGCCCTCCTTCGTGGGGGCTGGACACATTCTCCAGCTGGTGGGAGGGCCAGCTGGGACATGCACCTTGCTTCTTCCCCTCCCCCCACACTTGTTCTGTGAACCTCAGGCCCAGGATCTGACAGCCTGACTTCATGGTCTTAGTGCTCTTAGTTGGTCTGGGGGGGAAGGTATCCGGTCTGTGTTTCCCTATCTTGACGGGAGCAGTGCCTCCCTCATGCCACCACCTTTCTGCTAAATAGGTACAGCGCACGGGAGAACCCCAGGAGGTCCCCGGGCCCATAGGAGCTGTGCTGCCTGCAGCCCCCAGGCTGGCTGGTCTAGGGCCAGTTTGTCCAGCTGGGCAGTGGGTGGAAACGGGCCAGGGGCTGAGAACCCCCAGACTACGACTCGTGTGCAGGCGGCCAGCCTCGGGAAGCCCTGGGCACGCAGGGTCCAGCAGCCCTGACCTTCCTGGGCCAGGGCGTGCCTCCCACCCTGGGACCCTGCCTGTGGGATTTCTCAGTCCCTCATTTTTAGAAATGTTCCCGGGTGGAGGAGACCAATGTCTGGTCAGACCTCTGGACTCCCACCCCCATGAGGGTCGGATGAAAGGAAGCAGATGCGCTGGTGAGTGAGTTTATTGGGGTGTCTGAGCAGGCGCTGAGAGGTCAGCAGTTGAGGTCACGGGACCCGAGCCGAGAAACTGGGAGGGAAGGACGGGGGACCCAGAAGTGGTGGAGACCCCTCCCGGGAGCAGGAGTCCTGGGGAGCAGCGGGGTCAGCGTTCTTGGGAGCTATAAGGTCAAGGTCATGTCAGTAGAGTGGACGCATGGAAGACCCTGTCCTGGGTGTGGGCAGCCACCTGACAGGTCAGGACCGGACTGAGGGGGCTGGGAGGACCACTGTCACTGGGTGGGTCCTGAGCCCAGCTGGCCCCAGGGGAGACGGACCCCGTCAGCAGCAGGACTTCTGGGCCGAGGTGGGCACGCAGCAGGCCTGGCAGGAGCCCACAGGGCGGCAGAGCAGGGACACGCAAGAGGACGGTCTGCAGCAGGACAAGGAGCAGGGGCTGGGCTGGCAGCAGGAGGGGGCCGAGCAGGGGGAGGGCCCAGAGCAGACAGGGGTGCAATAGACGGGCTTGCAGCAGACAGGGGTGCAGCAGACGGGTTTGCAGCAGACAGGGGTGCAGCAGACGGGTTTGCAGCAGACAGGGGTGCAGCAGACGGGTTTGCAGCAGACAGGGGTGCAGCAGACGGGCTTGCAGCAGTCTTCCTGGCAGGGGGAGGAGCTGCAGCAGGAGGGCTGGCAGGAGCTGGTGCAGGCTGACTGGCAGGGGCTGGGCCCGCAGCTCGCAGGGGTGCAGATGAGGGTCAGGCAGGAGGGGGCACAGCAGGTGGGTTCACAGCAGGTGGGGGCACAGCAGGTGGGGCCACAGCAGGTGGGGGCACAGCAGGGGGGCTCGCAGCAGCTCTCTGGGCAGTCGTCCACCTGCCAGGAGTCGGGGCAGGAGTCACAGGAGCCGGGCAGGCAGACGCGGCCGCCGTAGCTCCGGTCGCTGGAGCAGACGGACAGGGTGGACGTGGCCATGGTGGGGGCGGTGGGGCTGGAGGAGGCTGTGAGTGTGAGTGTGTGTGTGTGAGTGTGTGTGTGAGGTGCCCTGGGATGCCAGGGCTTTTATATCCGCCCCTGGGCTGGTGTTGTCCTCACAGGAGACTCACATGTCCCCTTCCTTGCTGGTGTCCCCACGGGACAGGGAAGCCTAATTAGATGCGTCAGCAGCCTGGGAGGGTTGGTGATGCCCGCCTGACTGGGGTCTGGCCCTCGGGAAGCTGGTGAGGGGCCATGCTGTGGACAAGCCGTTCTACCTGCTGGTGCCCAGGGGAAGTGTGTGTCTGACTCTCTGTGGCAGACGGTCATGGTGGACCCTGGTGGGCCGGGTTGTGGCTGTGCTGGTGCACGGATTATGTCAGAGAAAGGTGATGCCCTAGGAAGGGCCAAGAAGGACGTCGGGGCTCTCGGTAGGGAGGCCATGTGCTGGCAGGAGCAGCGGGGTCTGTGTACTGAGACCCCCGGTGTTACCAGCAGCCTTTGGGTTGCTGTCCTTTCACACCCACACCTGGGCTGAGGCATGGGGTGGGCGACTGTTGGGCGGGAGGGTCCCAGGGCATAGATGGCCATCCTGGGGAGAGGCTGGTGGCCGGGACGGGTCTTTCTCTTGCTCTGACGGGAGCATTGTGCCCGATGGGGGTGCGGAGGGGCTTCTGGCTGTCATGGAAGCAGCGTTGACAGTACAGGACAATTCTCAGAGATCTGCGTGTTGCTGCGGCATAGACTTGGAGATCTGGACAGTCTCCTGTTGTAAGCTCTAGGAGGGACGGTGTCTCCCTCTGCAGGCGACCCCACGGCGGCCAGCGCCGTCCTCCCATAAACATCACTGAGTCTCCTGGAGGGATTCCTAAATGTCCGTCCCAGTGCGTGCCGCTCCGGGCCACGCATCCTGACAGGTCCACGTACTGGCCATGGTCCCCCC